GTTATTGTCAGCCTTCTTGAATTCACAAAACCATTATAACAATAGATTCAAGGTTCTTAACCTTGAGGTCGTGGGATCGAGTCCCATGGAGGACATTTCATAATTCGGAGGTCATTTCATAATTCGGTGGTCTTCTACGGAAGTTGCTCTCAACCTGGTGTTGGGGACAGCCTACTATCTTGCCTCCCCTTATCCCATTACATATGAGAACAATGGACAACAACAACAACAACAAAACCTTATTCTCATATGTAATGGGGTAAGGGGGAGGTAGGTTAGTAGGCTGCCCCCAACTCCGTTGAGTGCAGCTTTCGTGGAAGACCTCCGGCAGTCAGAAAATAAAAAATAAAGATAAAATGCAATGCATGTATAAATAAATAAATAAATACAAAGTTGAACAGTCTTCATTTGTAGTCTTAATATGCGCGTATGTAATGGGAAGTAATCCCTGCAAATAAATCCCTGCGTAAAAAATATCTGCATATAGACAGAAACGTAAGACTCGACTAAATTTAAAAAGAGGAAACCTGATGAGAAAGATACACAGAAGTCTACGATAGCAAGCTAGGAGAAGGAATAAAGTAAAATGGGTTAAAACCTAAACTATGACAACACTACTTCGCTACCCTAGTTCTGAGTCTTCATAAATTCCAATGACAGAAACGTATAAAAAGTAGTAATCATGGAAATTACTACAAAGGCATTAAAAAGAAGACATATATGTTACACCCTATGGCTGTGACCCGCACTACTCGGCTACCCTAGTCTTAAGTCTCCATACTTTCCGATCGGTGGTCATGTCATCGGTAAGGGCTAAATCCTTCAAATCAGATCTCAAGCAGTCTTCCCACTTCCACCTTGGTCGTCCTCTCCTTCTGGCACCGTCGACTGTAATCGACTCTACCCTCCTGACCGTATCCGATGGTTGTCGCCTAAGGACATGCCCAAACCACCGTAGTCTTCCCTCCCTCAATTTTTCGGCTACAGACACCACCCCCAAGGACATCCTAATAGCAGAGTTTGGTGTCATATCCCACAGAGTCCTACCACATGTCCATCGAAGCATTCTCATTGCTGCGGCCTCCATCCTCCTTACGTGATCCTTCTTGATTGCCCAACATTCTGATCCATACAGCAGCGCTGGTCTTATTGCCATTCTAAAAAATTTTCCCTTAAGTTTTAGAGGCACCTTCTTGTCACACAAAACTCCAGTTGCAGCCCTCCACTTTAGCCATCCCGCCTTTATACGGTGTGTAACGTCATCATCTACACCCCCATCTGTATGTATCATAGACCCTAGGTACTTGAAACAATCATTTGAGGGGAGAATATGTCCTTCTATGCATACTTCTACATCTTCATCGTTTTTGGATCCCACTGAAGTTTGAACATAAATACTCTGTCTTTTCAATATTGATCCTTAGACCTTTTTCTTCCAAAGCAGTCTTCCAGGTAGTCAGTCTACTATTCAGCTCAGTTTTTGTTTCAGCAACTAGGACAATGTCGTCAGCGAAAAGCATACACCATGGAACACCGTCTGGTGTCGCACAATATATATCGTCCATAATTAAGGCGAAGATGTATGGGCTAAGAGCCGACCCCTGGTGGAGTCCAATTTCCACCGGGAATGCCTCGATGTCACCAACTGTAGTCTTGACGTATGTAGTAGATCTACAGTACATATCACGAATCGCCCGGATATAAGCAGTTGGGATCCGTCTCGTTTCCAAGGTCTTCCAGATCGTATCTCGGGGAACGCTATCATACGCCTTTTCAAGGTCAATGAACGCCATGTGAAGATCTCTATTTTTTCCCTATATTTCTCCATAAGCCGTCGAAGTAGATGAATCGCCTCCGTAGTAGACCTGCCTGGCATAAAGCCAAATTGGTTTTCTGAAACCCTAGTAATCTGTCTCAACCTAGCCTCTATCACCCTTTCCCATAGCTTCATGGTATGACTGAGTAGTTTAATACCTCTGTAGCTGCCACAACGTTGGGGATCTCATTTATTCTTATAGATTGGTATCACCGTAGACTCTCTCCACTCCTCTGGCATCTTGGCAGTCTCTAAAATAATATTAAAGATGTTGGTCAACCACTTTACTCTCTCTTCACCTAGGGCTAACCACACAGTTATAGGAATTTGATCTGGACCGACAGCTTTGTCCCTCCCCATCTTTCTAAGAGTCATTTTGACTTCCTCAAACCCAATTGTACACTTAAGACAGTCATTGGCCGTAGTATGATGGTCAGTTGACCCATCAACGGTACTATCTCTACAGGGAGAGGCACCATCATTAAATAAGCCAAAAAAGTAACTACCCCAAACCCTCTTAATATCATGATCTTTCACTAAAAGAACATCATTGTTGTCTTTTATAAACCTAATGCTACCTAGGTTCTTTTTCCTATTTTCCCTGGATTTAGCAAGCCTGAAGATGCCATTTTGACCTTCCTTGGTGTCTAATCTCTTGTACATTTCCTCGTATGCCTTATCCTTTGCTTTAGCCACTGATTTCTTGGCTTCATGCTTTGCCTCCTTGTATCTTTGTTTAGCTCTCATTCTTTCTTCGTCGTCATTACATTGTAGAAACTCCTTGAAGCAAATTTGCTTTGTCATTACCTTAGTTTGGACTTCGTCATTCCACCACCACGATTCTTTATGTTCCTTGACCTTCCCTGTCGACAACCTAAGGGTGTTTTTGCCCACCTCTCTAATGGAATTTGCCATATTTTTCCATAACATATCTGTATTATTTGAGTTTGAAGTTCCAAAACCTGTATTAGACAAAACCTTACTCTTAAAGTCATCAGCTGTCGCACCATGTAAGTTCTTCCAAAGGATCCTAGGTTTACCAAGTTTAGCCCTCCTATGAGTACTCCACCCGTGGCGTACGCGGAACACCAAAACCAATAATCTATGTTGTGATGCACATGACTCTTCAGGGAACACCTTACAATCGATGCAAGCCCATCGATCCCAATTTCGAACCAGGATGTAGTCAATTTGGGTACAATGTCCCCCGCTATGGAACGTAATCAAGTTCACATCTCTCTTGTTAAAGAAGGAGTTAGTGACCACCATATCATGTGCATTAGCAAATTCAAGCAACGTACGCCCCTCCTCGTTCCTACTACCAAAACTGAAACCCCCATGAACACCGTCATACCCGTCTGTTGCACTACCTATATGGCCATTGAAGTCTCCCCCCTATGAAAACTCTTTGGTCCTCTGGAATGCTCCTAAGTACATCATCTAACTGATCCCAGAAGTAACGTTTCTCCCCCTCCCCTAGGCCAACGTGTGGGGCGTACACTGAAAGGACATTCACCACTTCCGCTTCTATAATAACCTTAATCATCATGATCCTATCCCAGTATCTACAAACTTCAACTACATTTTCCTTAAGCTTAGAGGATACCAAGATACCCACCCTATTTCTAGCGTTATCTACACCTGAATACCACAACTTGTACCCATTACACTCTCTGACACGAGTCCCTTTCCACCTAGTCTCCTGAATACATGTAAAATCAATTTTCCTATTACTAAGTACGCCGGTCAGCTCTAGCAGCTTAGCATTTAATGTGCATACATTCAACGAACAAACTCTAAGTCTAGTCTCCTTGACACCACTCTGTCGAGCTCTCCCCCTATACGCCCTATGGGATCTAAAGGAATGACATAACCTCAAGTAATCATCTTTAGCCGAAGCTATGAGAAACTATGAAAAAGGAATCCAAAGAAGACAGAAGATGCACCAATAAAAAGCTAGAGAATTGAGGAGTACTAAGAAGCCTAATTTGGTTACATAATAGAATTTTAAGATAAATTAACACTATCTATAGTCGAAATGGTGACACTTGCAAGTAAATCTGAAAACCCAAGGAAGCAACACCACCTTCTCAATAAATCACAGTTTTCGAGAAATCAAATACACAGATTTTCAGTTAAAAAAACAAACAAATTTCAAAATGCAGAGCAAATTTATTCCTTCCGCTTGAGCCAAAATACATAAATAGAAGAACAAACAAAAGTAAAATGAGAACAAAAAGTTGGTAACAAACCTTCAGCAGCGAAGAAGCTAAAATCCAGTACAATAAATCTAACCAACAAATTAAAAATCTGGAGATCGGATCTAATATCAAATACAAAGAATAGAGTGAACCCAAAAAAAGAATACTCACCACAAAATGAGAATCTGCAAACTTGAAAGAGATCGACTCAGAAAAAAACAAAAAAAAACTTAAAGATGGAGAGATGGAATATGATTGGAATAAGTTTAAATTAAAAGGGTGTTGAATTGAAATCTGGGGCAAAAATAGGTGAGTCCAAAAAGTGAAGAAATAATAGGCCAGATCTAGAGATTTTCTGCTTGGTTGATGAGAAAAAACGAAAATATGTCAAACCTGTGTTTGATTTCTGAAACCAAATATTTACCTCAAAGAAAATAAATGAAGATGAAAATGATAGATCAAAGAAGGAAACCTGGACTTCTGGTGAAACTTGGACCTCAACGGCTACTGGAGAAAGAAAGGGGGAGAAGGCAGCAGTATACTGTTTTAGGACGCTCCTTGTCACTTTGCTAGATACTGCTAGATCTGGGCGGCGAAAATTTAAAATAGTTTGGCTGAAGACAGGCGGCGGCTTAGGATTAGGAAGAAAGAGCTTACACTTTTAGATATGTATGATTAAAAAAAACTATGAGAACAATGGATTCAAGCCCAGCACCTAATGTTTGACACGATTAAGGCCCAACCAAAGATCTTTAACTTCAAATGAATCCTGGCCGTTCTTAAGTACCAATCACAACATTACACGATCAGGCCTTCCCTTTTGTTTATTGTTTCCGATGGTCAGTCTCTCATTGGGCGTTGTTTTCGTTATCTGCCTCCTCCTCACTTTCTGTTCAATTCTTTCTCTGTCCCACAATTATTGGAACAAAGTGTCCTCACTGTGGGCGCTCTCCAAACTCGAAACCTCATACAGAAAGAAGAAAATGGCGATGTGGGTATTCGGATACGGCTCTCTTATATGGAAAGCTGGGTTTAACTATGATGATCGTCTTGTTGGCTTCATCAAAGACTATCGCCGTGTCTTCTACCAAGGTCCTCTCTGTTTGATTTTTCTGTAAATATTTATGTTTTTTATTGAATATTTGAAGGGTATGTTGGTGATTTTTTTTTGTTAAAACAGGGAGTACCGATCACAGAGGAACGCCCGAGTATCCTGGGAGAACTGTCACATTGGAGCCCGCTCCAGGGGAAGTCTGTGTAAGTTATTTTTGCCATTTGCTTCGTTTTTTTCCTTCATAGTAAATTGACAACTATATCATATGTATACTTGTTAACACATGAAGGAATGAAAAGTTATTAAAAGGGTAAACTTTGTTCATATTTTGCATTTCTGTGAGATCTATTTAATGGCTGTTTTTGTATGCAATCCTTCGCTTGGACGGTGGACTTCAACATATATTTTGTTTCATAATCCATCTGAGCTTATCAAATGAGGAAGTATGTGAACTGAATAGGTTTTTTTTCCCAATCTTGTGAGGTCATAGTGGGGAGCTGCTTACATGGTATCCAAGGAAGAAGATAAACAAGCTGCGATAACGGTATGCTTCTGAGAGTAACTTTCTTGACATGTAATATACTGTTTTATTGAAATGTTTATCATGGCCATCTATCATGCTTTTCTTTTTCTGCTTAATCACTGGTCAAAATGCTTCTAGTTGTTTATGAAATGGATAAGAGTTATGGAATTTATTTTCTTGCCATTCCCAAAGACATGTTAGTGTTGCGTTAAAACATTCTTTAGGGTAGCCATTGATGCTTGCAATGGAATAGTTTGGTAAACAAAATTCAGCATTGGATGATTGAAATAGTAAGAAGACTGAATTTGATTATTATTTTATTCAGCTTTTTGTTTGTGGTTGCTTTCCCGTGATTAGTATTTCTGTTCTCATTTATTTATTTATTGTTTGTAGCATTTAGAAATACGGGAGAAGCAGTATGACAAGAAAGCTTACGTTGATTTCTTCACTGTGAGTTTTGAATGTTGATAAATGTGTTACATTAAGAAGCACCAGTACAATGTAGCTTTATCTTCACATATTTCTACTGAACTTTGTTTCAGGATCCCACAGCCACAACTCCAGCCATTTCTGGAGTAATGGTGTAAGTGTTCTTTCCTCAATGCCATTATTTTCTTACATTATTATTGAGATAACGAGATCTATATTGACACCAAAATTTCAGGTACATAGCATCTCCTGACAAGAACCTTAATCCGAATTACTTGGGGCCTGCTTCTCTACAAGACATTGCCAAGTATGTTCTTTCTATCTATGCATTTTCCCTCCAAGTATGGTAGTTAACGTTTAAACCAACGATTCAACAAAAGGACGGGGTAAAAACAAACAAATCAACCAAACATTTTCTCTGCAATATCCCAATTTCAACAAAGAAACCCATTAACAAAACTTTCCATAAAACATTGAATGCTGTGGAGCCTGCACCAGAAGGCATTGTTGACAAGCTGCAAAATCTTATAACTACTGCCACTCTACTTTCCAAATGTCCTTTTGTTTTTTTCCATCCACGTGTCATAGATGAAAGCATTCTCTCCATGTTTTTGAGGATAATAGCGGAAAGGGATTTAACCAGTTTTGGCCCAAAACCTCATAATGCCAAGTAGCCATATGCAGAATCCCATAGATTTTCTAGACTTGTGGCCATTTTTTTTTTATATTGAACGCAAAAGTGGAGAGTAAGTCAGGTTTGCATTCAACTTCCTGATTACAAAACAAGCAGTTAGGACTGGTATAGGTAGCCCAAAATTCAAAGTACAGTTTAAGATGAATGGTCATCAATGAATCAAGTGTGTCTAGGGATATGATATTTAATCAAATGATCATATGCCCATATGTCTACTGTGTCCAGCCTGCAGTTACTAGAAGTGCCGTATTCTGTGGATGATTTCAACCATACGGTTCTCTAATTCTGGCGCCGAATGAATGTTGGAGCAACACTTGTAGCCTCAGCAACATTTCATACTTCAGCTGCTATGTTGTGAAGGTGAACTGTGCCAGATATTGTTTCCCTTCAACACAATGTTTTCATCCTACTATCCATGAGGATCAAGATTGACAGAGTAGAGCCCCTAAATTCCTTAGAGTGCCCACCTGATTCCAGGATTTTAAATCCTTAAGCCTCTGATTTTTGGGTGGCAAATGAACTGCCAATTTACTTGTGCACCTTTGTTCCTCACCTTTCCAAATGAAAGCAATACAAAGCTGGGACACATTCTTAATGACCTTTTGAGGATGGAGAAAATCCACACACCTTAAGTTTTGATGCCAAAAACCACCTGTTTGTATCAATTATGGTTTCACAAAACGCTGTTGAATCCTTGCCTGGACATCTCAGTGTTTCAACTATTGGACATCTACCATCCCTTTTCCCAGTTTCAACAGAAAGGACTTGGTTGGACTCCGGAAAGCTGTCACAATACCCTTTATGATCATTGTTAACAAGCCCTAAAACAAATTTTCAAAGTCCTCGCTAAACCTTCTTCTAAAGAGAGAATCCCTCCCCCACAGATGAACTACAGGGAAAAAAGGAGTCCTATAACGAGTTTTCTATATTGTTATCATTGATAATTTGCTTGATAATCTTTGTTGAGCAAAATTCATACTGTGAATCATTCAATATATGTGTCAAATTCATCTCTGTGCAGGCAAATTGTTCGCGCCGAAGGCCCTCGGGGCCAAACAGAGAATACCTTTTCCAATTAGAAAAAGCTCTTCTTCAAATTGGTGAGAGTCTTTGTCACTAGCTTCTGGCTCTGATTTCTATCAGTTGCATGAACTTTATGTTTCACTTTTTTGCTTAAGATGATTCCCAACCAAAACTACACTTCCTGGTTCAGGTTGTAAAGACAAACATTTAATGGATCTTGCAAATGAAGCAAGGCGCATTCTTTCAGAAGCTAAGTGCACTGCGTCATAATGCAAACATGTTGGAAAAGAAAATATGAAAAATAAATAACCAACTTAGGGAAAGAATTAATTCATCATAGATGTTGGCATCGAATGCACTACATGAACTCGTCTCTACCATGTTTGTTTGGGATCGGGAAATCGAAACTTAGGTTTCGTATAGTGTGGAATGCAGTCATTCGAGTTTAATAAGTTCATCCCCACGAGCAAACGGTGTCTGGGAAAAGGCGTTTTACATAATCTTATTAAACCTGATTGTTCTTTGATGATGGAACCTAAGGCTTTTGATCATTTAAAGGTATCATAACATTTCTTAAATATCCCACTGTAGTGAGGGATTTGTTTTTTATGTTTATAAAAGTTAAAAGCAAATCCTGGTGCATCCCACCACGGTGAGCGGCTTCTAATTTTCATTTTAATCATTATATATGTGAATTTTTAATTCTATTTTATTTTTTCTATCATATCGATTCAAAGCAATGTACCTGTCAACAAAATATTTAACAGATGGAAATTTTTAAATAAACTAAACAGTTAGATATTTTTAATTTACTTAAAATTTGATATCTTTGGAAATGAAACATGATATTTAACAGTTAGATGAATTTAATGTTGATTGTTGTATTAAGTTTTGCATGTGATGTCTTTGTTATAATGAAATTATCTTGAGCTACTGACATTGAATTGAGATATTTCAAAATGTGTTAGAAAATTTATTGAAAAGAGATATAATGACTCAAAATTATTCAGATCTCACTCAAAAAGTCATTGCATGTCTATTGATGTTCCATCCTTGAAAAGTAGCTTAAATTTCTTGTCCAAGATAGCTAGTTTACTCCTCTAACTTGTCTTAACTTATAAATTAAGTTAAAAGGTATAAAATATCCCATATTGGATTGAGTAAACTTGAACAACTTAGATAATAAGATTGGACCCAATTTTTATTACATGAATTACAATATTTCATGTTCATCGCTGGATTAATTTATGTATGCATTGTCTTTGTTATAATGAATTTATCTTGAGCTCCTAGCGATTGAAGCGTTTCAAGATGTGTTGGAAAGTTAAGAGACAATCGATCTTTTATTGAAAGGGACATTGACTCATAAATGCTTAGATGACATTAAAAAAATCATATAAAATTCTGTAGATGTTCCAGCCATGAAAAATAACTTCAACATCTTGTCTAAGATGGCATGGATGCCTAGTTTACTCCTTGCATACTCATACCTAATAAATTAATATAACTACAAAATACACCTTCAACTTCAATTTATAAGCTGGACATATTGATCCTATTAAAATGCTCAAATTCCATTAAAAATTCATCGCAAGTTGGCCGATGTTCCAGCCTTGAAAAATAGCTTCAACTTCTTGTCGAAGAATTTACTCCTTTCATTCGCCTATCAACTTATTAATTAAAATAAAATCTATAAAATATCCCTTATTGGACTTAGTAAATTCGGTCAACTTATGAAATAAGGATTGGGCCGAATTTTCATTACATTGAAGAATGAAGAATTTAATGTTCATTGTCTTCGTTATAATGGTTAGAATGGTTAGAAACCAAGAGACAATCAAACTTATTGAAACAGATATTGATCCATAAATGCTCAGATCCCATTTAAAAAGTCATTGCAAGTTACGATGTTCCAATTTTGAAAAACAAATTCAACTTCTTGTCCATGATGGCTAGTTTACTCCTTTCATTCTCATGTCATTTATAAATTAAAATAAAATATATAAATACCCCTCAATAGGTTGAGTAAATTCAGTCACCTTATAGAATATGGTTGACCAAATTTTCATTACATGAATTAAATGATCTTATGTTCATTGTTGGATTAATTTATGCATGCATTGTCTTTGTTATAATGGATTTATCTTGAGCTCCTAACATCAGATTGAGACGTTTCAAGATGCATCAAAAAGTTAAGTGACAATCAATCTTACTGAAAGAGACATATTGACCAGGAAATGCTCAAATCCTATTCAAAAAGTCGAAATAAACCTGTTGATGTTCTAGCCTTGTAAAACAACTTCAACTTCTTGTCCAAGATGGCTAATTTACACCTCTCATCCTCGTATCAACTTTTAAATTAAGATAAAAACTATAAAATACCTCACATTGAGCTGATTAAATTTGATTAACTAATAGAATAGGATTGAACAAAATTTTCAATACATGAATTAAAAGATTTCATGTTCTTTGTTGGATTAATTTATGCATGTGTTGTCAACGTTATGATGGATTTATATTGAGCTCCCGCCATCAAATTCAAGCATTTCAAGATACATAGGAAATCTAAGAGACAATCGATCTTATGAAAAAGATAAAACAAATATAAATCCTTAAAAAACGGCTTCATCTCCTTTTCCAAGAAGGTTAGTTTACCCATTTTATCCTCGTATCCACTTATAAATTAAGATAAAACAAATAAATACCCCTTATTGAGATGATTAAATTCAATGAATTTATAGAATAAAATTGGACTTGTAACACCCTATTCCCGACCACAAAGAATGACCCGAGTATTATGTGTGCACATTAGATTTGAAAAGTGAATCGGACAAATGAATCCTAAACATGCTTACTAAGTGGAAGCAATTAAAAGTAACACTCATAATACATCACACGGATGCGGAACAATCATACATCAAATCTCATTCAATCATACTTAGCATCCACCATGAATTATTTGAATTAACCAAAAAGGGTAAAATCATCATTTTATACACTTGCAAGTTTCCAAAATGTTCTATTAAAAATCTTTTTCAACATGCTATTCAGAAATTAAAATTAGCAATGTTTATTATTAATTATTAGTTAGTCTTCTGTCAAGTTTCAGGGTAATCGAACTCCATTTACGGGCCTAATTGAGCATGCTTACATAGGGACTAAAACGTAAACATTCAACACAAACGTCCAACCAACAAACATTGAATTAACCAGTCCATTTTGTAATTAGATATATTGAAGGGTGACAGAACATTTCTTAGCCAAATCCAGTTTAAACCTAGTATTAATTTAAAGATTCATTCTCTAAACCAATTTAAAATCATTTCAAGGGTTCCGAGGTCATGCTAGGGCTTAGCGTACACTTAGAACATTCAATGAACCAAATTTTACCATTTTTCAGTGAGAAAAAACACAAGTGATCAATCCCTTCTCATGAGGGATTGACCTTTTACAAAATAAAATCAATGGATCAATCCTTTAGGGAAGGGAATGATCATTTTCCTGAAGGTATTGATCATTTTAGTCAGGGATCGATCCTTTTTCTAGAATAATGCATAAATGCATATGAACATGCAATAATATGCTTCCAAATGATCATGAAATCAATTCTAGGGTTTATGAACATGCTTGGACATACGTGAATCAATTATGGATCATGATCCCGTAAAATCTCGTAAGCGTGACAATTAAACAAACCATATAATTGTCTTCCACTCATACACCATACACAGTCACATGATTAACCCAATGGAGTGCCTTGAGGCCTGAGATCCTACCCAAGAAAGTTTTTCGGGGCCTCGAAGCCTACCCAAAGGTCACCTTAGGACTGTAAGGATTTATCAGCTTAATCAAAGCTAAACCTCCATACTCCAACCTACCAGATAATATCCAAATAAAACATTTCAAGTAATAACCAGTATATTCCATGATCCATAAATCATGAACAATCATATTTCCCAGTGAAAATAGGAAACCATATAACACACTTCAGATAACCATAGTTCATAAACCAATAGATTTCATGATCCATAAATCAGGAACTATTATATTTTTCAGTGAAAACAGGTAACTAGAGAACATATACCATGTAGCCATAGTTAATAAGCAAGAAAATCAGTAAATCAGTGATTTAAGAAAATCACATTTAAAACAGGTAAAACATTTACATGTCACATAAGGAACAGACTAGAGGATCCATATATTCTTCAGAGCTACCTGGTAATCAGGAAGTTTTTCATAATCTTGTGCATAAGAGTTAATTAAGATTTCAAGTATGAAAAGAGTGATTCAATTACTCACAAATAGGGGTATTTCAGACATTTTGGTTCTTAGATAATTCTCATTAATTTAACTTAATAAGGATATAGCAGTTATTTATGGTATTCAAGATTATGTATTGAATTATTAGGATTTCGAGTCCGATTGAACTACGTATCCCAATACTGTGATACTTGACAATTATTAGGGATGTGATACTTCACTATTATTCACTTCTTATTACTGACTGCACCAACTGATCTGTTCTTGAAGAGACAAATAGGTATTTCGTTGGTATTTATTTCATTTCCACATTGTAATAGTTTCCCAAAATGTTTGACAACTTGGGTCGTGCTCCATAACCTTTAGAGGCAGTACATCATTTAGGTTCATCGATGTTCCCATAGTCTATCCAAAGAAATTCACTTGATCTAAGTCATAAAGATATTTATATCATCTCGGTATTAGAGGTTATTTTAGTTATTTGGGGTCCAAACTCATTAGTTATTTCAAAACATGAAGAATATCCATCATTTAATTACTGCAGTGACGTGTCGCAGTTACAATAATCTAGTATTCAAATGATTATTCAAAAATAATGAGATCGACATATTAAGAATTTTTAAATGTAAGAATTTATTCTGGGTTTTTTTTAAATAGATCAAGAATTTAATCGGTGATCCCAAGGTTCAAGTGAAAAAAATATAAGTTCTTAGGTCGCCTCCATTATCATAGCCATCCATAGTCTTTAGAGTTAAGGGTATTTTGGACAAATTACAATCCAAGTTTATTCCAGTCATTTCCATTTAATTCCATTTTTTCTGAATAATTCAAACAAGAATAATACTTCCAATATTTTAGTCTTTAGGGGCTTGTTAATAATCAACAATTACAGATCTTGTAGCTTTTCTAATGTTAAGATCTGATTATTTGAGACTATCCGATCAGATTGAGAATTTAACAGATAAAATGGCAATTTATCGAATTAAAATACAAATTCTCAAGGTACTTTCGCTCTCAAGTCAGTTCGG